ATAGATATGCTGTTATCTCTGGTAACCCTTAATGGACTTTTGCTGATCAGGACTGAAATGAGGAGGTTTTTAAGGATTTATTTATAGATAAGAGATGGAATATGGAAAGAAGAGATCATTTGTTGTATTTTAAGATAAGGTGATAAGTTACTAAAATTGTTTATAGTTGTGATGAAGGGGGAAGTCATTTCTTTATAAATTTCTTTTCTTTTCAGGTAGTCCTCACTTAATGACCACAATTGGGACCGGAATTTAGGTTGCTAAGTGATGTGCTTGTTAAATGAATCATCATGTGACAGGACCTGATTTTATGATGTTTTTTGTGGTGGTCGTTAAGGGAAACATGCAGTTATTAAGTGAATCATGTGGTTCCCCACTGACTTTGCTTGCCACAAGCTGGCTGAGAAGGTCACGAATGGTGATCATGTGACCCTGGGATGTTGCAACTGTCATTAAGTGTGAGTTGGTTGCCAATTGCCCATATCGTGATCACATGACCCCGGGGCGCTGCAACAGTCATAACTTTGGGCACCAGTCATAAGTCATTTTTTAGCACTGTTATAACTTCAAATGGTTGCTAAACGAACAGTTCTTAAGCAAGGGCTATCTTATTTTTTCTTTCCTATTTTTTTCTATTTTCTTTTTCTTTTCTGAACCTTCTATTTTTTCCTTAAAAATTTTTTTAGTTTGTATTAGTTTTTTATTGTTGTAGTTGTAATTTTTAACAAAATTACTATTAAAAAAAATTACAAAGGAATATCTACCTTTCCTTCGCCACCTGCTTTTTCTTCCTTCCTTGCTGCTATTCTGGTCACTGCTGCTGCTACTGCTGCTTTCTGAGGTGGGGGAATCTGACTGTATATCACTGCTTTCTTCTGAGCCTTCAGACAAGTCCTTCAGCCCATCAGGAACATCTTTCTGCAAATGAGTAACAGAGAAAGAGTCATACAAATGTAGAGGCAGGCAGAAGAATCTAATGTGTTTTTCTCTACTTCAGGTCACCATAAGGGAGAATTAAACTCTAAAACAAATTGACACCACTAGTTCAAAAATGAGGGAACATGATCTTCTAGGAACATCGTGTATGCAAGCCCCATTAAAATTAATGGCAACTATGAAAAATGACACAGACTTTATTTGCAGGGATGGGACCTGTTAGGTGGCAGCACCTATCTGACTTTGGCTGATCTAGGAAAGCTAAGCAGATTTGTATCTGATTAGTACTTGAATGGTAGACCCCCAGAAAATCCCAGAGATGTAAACTGAACTGAAAAACTAAAAAAAGAAAAACATAAATACCAGAAGAAGGCAATAGCAAACCAATTTGATACTGTTGCCAAGAGAATTAAATAAATGTGTCCCTGAATTCACAAGGCACTGCACTCAAGGGGACATTCCATTTTTATTTAATATAAATAAAATAGCTCTGGAGGCAAAGTGGATCTCATACTACTCCCTGTCCAAAAAAGGACCACCCATATCCCTCAGCATTCTCAAAAGATGTCTCACAAGGAATGGAGCCTACCACACATAACTCTTCTTTTGTGCACCTCAAAAAACCCCACATTGTTAGTACTATCATATTTAACATTCCACCTATTTTCTTCACTTAGTTTCTTTAGTTTATAAAAATATAATTCTTGTGAAAACAATCTTCGTAATAATTGTTAATATATATTAGACAACATTTACACTATATTCTCTACCTACTGGAGGGCCTATTCTCACAAAAGAAAAGCCCTAGTTCAGTGACAGAGCATACAGAAACCAAGAACCACTAGGTAGGACTAGAGCCATGTCTGAAAACCTGGACAGCTGTTGATAATATTGAACTAAATTAATCAATGGTGTGACTCAGTAGAAGGTTTCTTGTATTTCTAACAGCTTCTCATACTCCTAACAATGGACTATATGGATTTGATCCAATGAACCTCTTGTTAACTATGACTTTCAATTCATGGATAACAACTGATTTGTGATCTAATCAATCATGAGGGGCAATGCAGGAACACTGCCAAACACATACACCACATATTGTCACCCCATACCATTTCAAAGAGTATCCTAAACCCCATTGGGAAGGTTTGTTTAGAACATCTGCATACTACCTCATAAAGTTCCCTAACTCTGACAGTTCGTGGTTTGAAATATAGTTTAACCTGTTAAAAGACAGTGCACATTTCAAGCAGGAGACTCACCTTCAGTGTATAGACCCCCATCCTTCCAGGGACCTTATAGAAAATTCCCTCATCTCCACGGGAGTTGGTGTGCAGCATAGCATTCAGGCATGCAAGTGGAGAAGTTCCACTGGAAACAGAAGTGCAGATTTAGCCACCAGCAACACAACAAAGCAATGCAATGACACTTTGTATCTGCTGGAACTCTGCATTACATGTTGGTAAGAGAAATGATCCAACAAGAGCCTTGCCCAACTTTATTTATTTATTCAGTTTGGATGTAGCCTGAGTCCAACCAACTACTAACAATTCTTCAATATATGCAAATTATCAATCTTTTAAAATGACATAAGTGACAGTGGAATTCAACAGGTGAATTCTCTATAAGCAAGCATATAAGTACTGCAAAATATAGCACAGAACATTCATACATTTGTGTTAATTATAAAAGAGAAAACTGTTCTTGCTATTCAGAGAAGAATTCCCAGAATGGAGAGAAACTTCTTCAGTTGTTTCATGCATAGTCACATTCCTAAACGCAAGTGCCAGGCAACATGTTAAGAAAAACAGCATCAGAGATATTAGAACTTTTCTTCAGTCACTGACAACCAAAATATTAAGAAAAAGAGTTTCAACATTTCTGGGAATGACTCAGTCTTCACTGCTTCAGACATCTGCATTAACAAAAAAAAAAAACATGCTGGCTTGAGATTAAAGTATATCAATTTCAAGTATTTTCAAAAATAAGAGTTGCTTCTAATTCAGCTGCAAACTCCAGTGTGTGCTATGGATCCGTAATAAAGCCAAGAAGCAGCGTTACAAAATGAAGTGGGCTCATGTGCTCAATTTTTTTACTCTTCCAAGTTGCTTCCAATGTGCGCTTGTTTACAGGAGTTCAACACCCAGTAAAATGCAATTAATACATTAATAAATCATGTTCATTTGTGAACAATGCATTAAGCTTGTCAAACATGAAGTCTAGATATGCAAACTGTAACTGCAATATGCCAAAAGGTGTCAGTTTAAAATAAGCAAAAGACTAATCTGAAACCAAAATCATAAGAAAAACACTAGCTAACATTTTACTCCCACAAGACAATTCAGTTAATTTACTCTGGCCTGTAATACCAACAGGAGATTTATACAGGTCAGTTCATTTCCTTTGCTTATGTACAAACAGAAACCTTTGCTTCTAGAACAGAAGTGAGCAACATTTTGTCAAGTAAGGCCACATTTCACATTTAGGAAGAACCTGAGAGCTGCAGAGGGGGTGGTGATACATATGGATATAGCACTGATTTTTCCCTTTGGCTTTCGGAGTGTGTTGAGCTCTATTTCTTTCTCTCTTTTTAAAGCGTTTGAGGGTTCATACGATATTTGTCATGTACTTCCTGCCTCAAGAAGGGTACAAAATCACACCACCAGTTTTCTGTGATTCTAGTCAAGAGGGGTTCCAGGTCATAAAAGGCCATAGGCTGCTCATCCCCACTCTAGAACCAGAACAAAGAAATACTGTACCAAAAATTGTGGCAAGAACACATTACCAGTAAATAAATGCACATTGCTTATTTAGAGGATTAAATGGACTCAAGAAATGCATCTGCTTCTGATATTGCACAGGGGTTTCAGGGTGACTTCTTTTCATAGGTAAGGGGGGGAGTTACAAAATCAATAAACAACAATTCACATTGCTGGCTGCGTATGTAAGTTCATTAACGCATCATATGAGGAACACTGCCTTTCTCAGGGATACATCTTTTATTTCTAGTGGTGTGTTGTAGCTAAAAGTCACTATGTAGACATCCCACTAGTCAGAATGGGAAATCACTAGCCAGAGGTACATCATTAGACTCCCCTCGTCATCTCATCTAGCCCCTCTCTATATATAGCAAATTTGTGTTTTAAAAAGCTTTTAGTGAAGCCAATTAAGACTTTTAAAATATAACTGCTGCACACGGATGCAATGGAGGGCAGACTAAACCTCCATTCCTCATGCTCTGGAGCCACTCTAGAAAAATTATTCCTTCCCTTCCTGCAGCAGTTCAGGCATCTGAAAAGTTTAAACTGCCACAAAAAGGCTCTGTAGAAAAAAGGAGGGAAAATGGTACCCTGGAGGGAACAGTTTATATGAAAAGCTACGGAAGAAAGAAAGCATAAGCAAGAAGAGAATGGTCTTACTCCGTATGGCTCCCTGGAATGACTCTGGAGGGGTTTAAATGAGTGCTGCCTTTGGGCCAAAAAAGGATCCCCAGTTCTGCTTTATTTTAATTCAACATTCAGAAGATCCTAGCATGAACAACAAGATGGTTCAGAAAACCCTGCCAAGTTAATCAGAGATGAAATCATCCAAGTAGAAGAGTCAGTGCTAAGCTTCTTTCAATCAGGTCAAACAGAACAAAAGACTTGACTAGAAAATGTCAGCCCTTCCCACCTCATTTGGCTAGCCACTGCCTCCCACAAGCAAGTTTTAGGTACACAGAGAAATGATTCTTCAACCTAATAGCACTGAAAGTATGGCTAAGCTCTGTACAAAGCAAGCTAAATAAGTGTAGCATTACTTTGATTATATGCAAAGGAATTTATTCATTAATTGTGGTTCTTACCTTCTGGAAAAGATGGAAATCCAAGAAACCCAAAAGCAAATCGAAAAGAGAGAGTGAGAATAGGTAATGAAAAAAAAGATAAAAATTTAAGTAGGTCAGTAAAGCAATATTTTTATATATTTCTAATGACCACCCACACAACCCATACCAGACATTTTTTCTTAGATTATAGAGAACAAAGGGGATAAGAGTGGAACAAATTCATCAGGGAGGCTTTGCAAGTCTCAAGGGAGAGTGTTGTATGTATAAATAAAAGATGCCGCTCTGGGCTTCAAGTCTGAATTACACTGAAGGAGAAGTCAAGAATAGTAACATAACGGGCTGCAGAATCAATGCTACCTCTAGGTGGGAGCAAAGAAGAATACTGCAGAAACTGCTCCATTACTACAGATATCAACTCAGAATTACATAGTCCACGCTGATCTTGCAAACATACTTTTCCCAATGTAATTAAGAACATTTCTTGTGGGTTGCAAGACTTCATAAAGATATATGTAGTTAAAATAATTCATGACCATTTATTGAACCTAATTTCTGGTGGCAATTGTTTATTTCTATATTTATTACTATGGCTAGAAAAAACAAAGCCCAAGTCATTACACAGAAATCATACTTGTTAGAAAAGAATTGCTTGGAAGATTTGTGGCCAAGAGACTTATAGAGTAGGAAGGTTATCTTCCTAACTTCTTAAAAAGTTCTATATTTCCTTTTTCCTTTTGTATTTCAAATAGAAACATCTAAGTTGGCTTAGTTCAATTAATAATTAACCACAATAAATAATATATTATTTTTTTTACCTAAATTCCATCTTTTGACCCAGAAAAGTAAGAATAATCATCAAACAGTAGAAAAACAACTGGGCAATTTTTAATGACAAATCTCTGGAAATGCAAAATCTCCAGTCAGTGGCAGAATACTAGAAAAGAGGGAGGCCCCCCCCCAAAAAAAAACACCCCAACTCAAACTCTTGTGGGTGAAGGGAACAATATTTTAACATCCGTCTGTCTGTATGTCTGTCTATCATATTTATATAGCTGCCCATCTCACACAAAGTGACTCTGGGTGGCGTACAACATGGTCCATTTAAGCCAGAAATAAGCATTATCCTCCTTTGGGGGCCTCCTCTTTTTTGAAGCTCCCAAGTTCATACACAATCCCAAGGGCCTGACACAAATTTTAAAGTTTTTATTTTTAACATTGGGCTGAAAACTTAGTCTTGTCCCCTCTGGAGATGGCATTATGCCTCTGCCACTACTGTAACCCTTCCCCACCCCATCCCACATTAAAAATGTATCTTCACTCTACCAAAAAAAAAAAAAAATTGTTAGCTCCTTAACTAAATCATTGTGACTTTTAAATGAAACAAACATTTTAGAAATCCCTAGCAGTAAAGCTTCATCAGCGGCAAATTGACCAAACTAAATACTCAAGAAATGTAGCAATAATAATTTTAATGAGGGGTTTTACCTCCTCTAATTTTTAGTTCATCTTAATTTTTATTTTCTCTTATAAGCAAATTATATTTACTGTATTAGTAATCTTTTTTCCCATCAAAAATAGCACTCATGGTAATTAACAATAAAAGAAAAGAGTTATACAGGTGAAACTC